TTGCAAACTTTTCTGAACAATTTATATTCTCAATGAACATGTTTTTTCGCTGTTGTTTCGGTATTAATTCTTTAAAAAACTTGTATTTAAACTAATTTCTACGTAATAAATGTATTTTGCTAACCTGTCAAATTTTTTTTGAGAGGTTTTCCTTGTACTATTATGTTTTTCAAAGCGAATATTTTCCTTTTTCTGCTTCGCAAAACTCATGTAGTTTTTGGACCGCCATCTTGTTTTTCGCTACCCGCCGTATATGAGCTGATATACGGCGAGTAATTCAACCAATCAGATTGCAGAACAGCTCATATACGGTGGATGACTATATTATATATATATATATATATATATATATATATATATATATATATATATATATATATATATATATATATATATATATATATATATATGGAGCAAGAACTTTAGTCATTCGGTCTAGGAAAGTGAAGCCAGATGGCTGAAATTGTCGTCCAATGGCTATGAAGGTCGTCAACAGTTTTCATACTTGTCGTCCATTTTTCCCCAGCTAATAGTTCTTCAAACGGACAGTATCGCAATCAAGTTATCAGTTTATAAAACCATGATATTATTCTTTGAATCGAGGTCGAAATACGAAATTTATACACACTCCTTCCCAGCTTGGTGTTAACCGTGCAGACAAAAACAATCGAAAGGGATTGGAACTGACGTCCAATAGCTCTTCAATTCCCGCTACCTTGGCTTCACATTTTGGACTCGAGTTCTTGCCCCAGATATAATACAGAGCTCACTGGTCTGGTACTGCATGTTCTAAACATGTTGAAACTTTAAAACACTAACCCAACGTAAAAAGTTCCCAAAGCAGAATTCCAAATGACCATCTAAATATAAATGGTAATAAAGTTTAGAAATTTAGTTCAATATAAATATTGCATGCATGCACATATACAATTTCAGAATTTGCGTCTGTTAAGAGACTATATATTAATATATAAGATACATGCATTATACGAAAAATAGTAAAATTGCAGCCAGGAGTAGGCATAACTGATTTTGTAAAATCTTTAATACTATAATGGACTTATATAAAGAGAAAATGAACAATCTATTGGGAGATAAAGTTGAGAAGGAAATGAACAAACTTTTAATGGAAATAAATAAAATCACAACCTGCTAATCACGATCAAGAAACAAAAAAATTGGGGAAAAGTTATATCTATCTACATACTGTAGTACAGACAGCCCCTTCGCAACATTTTATATGGGTTACCAAAAATTCACAAATCCAGGATTCCCTTACGCCCCATAACCAGTTGATTTTAAATTTTCCTACACACCATTTATCCAAACATCTTAAATTTATCTTATCACCGTATGACCCTTATTGAATCAGAAGTTTCCTGTCGAAAACAGTACTGCATTTTCTACTGAAATACGGAACCAGACAATATCCGACGAAGAAGTCATGATTTCATTTGATGTATATATTCTCTTTATTTACATCTGTCCCCATTGAATTGGCCTTACAAGTAATCACACAAAAGTTACAACAGGATCATAACTTAACGTGTTGATCCAAACGCACAAATATTTGCAAATCTAATACAGGCCTACTTAGACTCTCCGAATTTGTGTTAAAAAACAGTTTCTTCCATGGGCGTACGAGCCTAATCTTGTTTGGGGGGGGGGGAGGGGCACAGTATTAGTTTGCCCGACCGTCGCTAATTAATATTTCTCGCCAAAAATTGTTGGCGAGCGGGGGGGGGGAGGAGGTCACCAAAAATATTCCCGGACATATCCAAAAAATTTTACTAATATACCGTAATTTTCGCAAACATACAAAAAAAATTCCGGACATACCAAAACATTTTCCCTAACATCCCGTACTTTTCGCAAACATACAAAAAAAATTTAATGACATACCAAAAAAATGTTCCCTTGACCCTTATATCCCATAATTTTCGCACACATACAAAAATTGTTCCGGACATAACATAATTTTTCCGAAATTTTTATGTTTTTCCCGAATGACGCATGGATTTCTGCCCGACCGTAAACATTTGGGGTCTGTGCCCCCTCCCCCGTGCCCCCCCCCCTCCCCCGGCCCATACGCCTATGGTTTATTCAAATACAACGATCAACATTATCAACAAATTTCAGGTTGTACCATGGGCTCATCCATAAGTGCAACAGTAGCCAATCAAGTGTTGGAATACATTGAAGAGAAAACAATCCGGCTCCACAGTACCGCACCCTCTCGTTTGTGGTACCGTTTTGTGGATGACAGCATGCATGCCTTAATTCTGAGAGACTATGTGGAAGAATTTCATAGACATATTAACTCGATAAACGCCAATATACAATTTACCATAGAAATAGAGAATCAAAACAAACTGTCCTTCTTAGATACTTTAACCACATGACGAAACAGCATCATAGAAGTCGACGTATATATAGAAAACAAACGCATATAAGGACCAATATATATAGACTATAACTCACATCACTCTGTCACCCATAAACGCTCAGTTATCAACGCCCTGCTTGACCGAACAGATAAAATTCCCTCCTCACACAGCAAGAAACACGACGAAAGCGAAAGTATGTTTTTTAAGAGGATAATGATTATCCTCTTAAGCCAGCTGATTCTCATTTATCGTAAACAACGGCGATGTCCATTGTCGATGGTGGTCATTGATGCATAAAATTGTTTTGTGCATTTTCTTCTTCGTTGGTGACCGACAATGGATCGTAGAACATCGCCGATTAATGAGAACCAGGCTTCATGTTTCTGAAACAATGTGACAGGCAACGCAAATGAAACCGTCCACAACCAAGTGGAAGCAGAAATAACCTTGCCAGCACAGATTCAGAGGCTCATCTCGTTGTGTTGCCTTGTGTTCAAGGTGTATCTGGAAAGATCGCTAGATCATTGTGACGCGAAAATCTAAATGTTGGCTACAAACCGATAAACATATACTATGCCATCAATTTCCCAAACCTAAGGATCGTCTAGAAATGTATAGAAACGTACTAATATACCAGATTAATTGTTTGGATTGTGATTTTGTCTATATCGGTCAGACAGGAATTACAGTATGAGCACTAAAAACACTGGTTTCAGAACATAAGAAAGCAACTAGAGGAAACAAGGAAAATTCCAAGGTGGCACAGCACGTCGTTGAAAAAGATCATGTGATGGATATTAAAAATGTTAAGATCATTTACTGCAAACATAAGTACCATAAAAGACTGTTCCTTGAAGCATGGCATTCAGAAAGGAATGCAAATGCAGGGAATGAGTCGTCACTGACCTCCTGCATGACATTTATGATTGTTTGAAACAATAGTCTATATATAGCTATAATAATTTGCATAATTAAGGCCATATATATAATCATTGTAGTCGTCTTGTTTAGTTGTTTACCATAATTTTTAACTGACGAGGTCAACGTTTTTCGTCCGAAACGTTTTAGTGTTTTTAACTTAGCCAGTGTCAAATATTCAAAAGTCTTTTTAATAATATTAAAGATTTTACAAAATTAAGATACATTAAGTACAATAGTTATTTTTAAGGCCCGTTCTGCCGAATCCAACATTGTATGTTGCTGGGCTAACATCATGCAACAGTTTTAAAATATTTGGTTTTAAATTAACAGCTAGAGCTAGCTAATTTATAAAATCCCTTTGATAATCTCATTATTTAGTAAACGGTACGGTTGTATTGCGTTGGGCGAAGCGTGACAGTTGTTGGGTTTTTACATGCATGCAGGGTACGCTGTCAATTTAGGAATTTTAGGGGGACATGTAGTGGCACACCGGCGTGGTTATGAAGTGCTACGGGATAAAATTTCAACAAGATCTATTTGCAGTAAGCATTCGCAGAAGCTGACTGTGAAGAAGTTCTATAAATACAGCGATATTTTATCCATTGCATGCAATGCATGTCTGTCCTGCATATTTGGTGGCTCAATACAGCTTTTTAAAATATAGAAAATTTACGATTTAGATGTGTATCTTTGGACAAGTATACTTGTTGGAAAACAAAAAGCATCTTATTTATGTAAAATAACATCTAAAGAGTTTTTGCACAAAAGTTACGCAACTGCCTTAGCTATGGCAACAATCACGTTTCAATATATGGCGGATATTTTGGTTTTAAAGTAATTTAACTCGAAAACGACATCAGTCCCCAATTTTTGTTTCATAAATGGTTTCTCTTAGTATATACACTGAATTACGTTGACAATTTTAAAAAATTCTGTTGAGCCGAAATTTTTCAAATTATACGTAATATTTTTTTTAAATTATCAAAATAATTGATTATACTAAGCGAAATTATTTTTTTGAAATAAAATTTGGGGTCGCCGTTTACGAGTTACATTACTTTAAAAGCCAAAATATCCGCCATCTTGAAATTCTCCAAAATGTCCGTCATATTGTTTTATATCAGTAAGATACTTTTTGTTTTTCAACAAGTAATAATTGTCCAAATTGTGAAAGCTGTATTGAGCTACCTTAAAAAATCTGAAAAGAAAGTGGCAAAATAAAATGATCAAATCGTGCGCAGTTGTACCAACTTTATCATATTCTAAGACTTGCAAGACTGAGAATACCTCGCACGTGTGTGATTGTATGTATCGTTAGGATTACAGGGCTTAATATAAAGTTATAAAATCGTGCTTGATGTAATTATAATTTTGTGAGATTATGGATATCAATCTTACATATCTGTCTTCTCAGTATATATAGAATCTCTAATGGACTCGATTGCCATCCATTTTAGAGGAACCAGTCCCTGTAAATGAAGATTGGAACAATAGATCAGTCAAATGAAGGAAAATGTGTCGGTGGGCCCATGAATGGCATTAGCTTAAGAAATAGAGATCCTCATGCAGGAGTACTTGCTTTTGTCATGCGCGCTGGGCCTTTTCTAACCATATAACTGTGTTTTTTTTTTGCTCCCCCCCCCCCAGTCAAAGTCCCTTATCTCTAAAACATAGGTAAATATTGGAAGAAAAGTGAAATTTAGAAGGAGGTTTGATATTCTATAGTAACTGGAATTTGCTTTATGATTCTTACGTCTTGTCTTTTATCTTCAAATGATTCAATGTTTTTTAAAAAAATGCTAAACAATGTATTGTAATTAAATACCTTAGATTTTAAAAATTTCCAAGTGGATATAGCATATTCAGACTCTGTACATTTGAGTTGTTGCAAGGCTAGCTAGGCTAAATATGTTAGTGACCGAGTTGTGGTATTAACATAAACATACCATACAAGTACTAGCTTGACTGCCGATTCAGTCTATCTACAGTATAATGTAACTCTGTGTATCCAAAAATCTGTTTCGGCAAACGCACGAAATGCAGTCCTAGTGGTGAAAAAATACAAAATTTTCTGGGGGTCCCAGAACCCCATATATACAATTGCATACGAGACAACACCAAACCTTATGTGACCAACATGCAACCATCTGTCATCTCTCCACACTTAGTATAAAAAAAACTTTTTGTTGCGCCCCCCCCCCCCCCCCCCCCACGGACAAATTCTTAAAAAAGGTCCTGCATGCGCTTCAGTGACAAATAGATCGATCCATGTAAGCATGTAAATTGCACAAATAAATAGACCGATCCATGCATGTAGGTATGTAAATTGCTTGTTTCAGATCACGGCATATTGTGCAATTTTTCACTCATATGAAGTATTCAGAAATGGCCAACACTGAACGCAGGCTCGCGCTCAAGTACTCTTAAATTTTTAATTTTTTCATATTTTTTGTACAAAACTGCAAAATAGTTGAAAGATTCGTACTTTTAACTATACAACAATAAATTTCCGAAATATATACTGTAGGTATATTAGGGACCGCTCTTAAGACAAGTAAAATTTTCAAAGCCCCCCACCCCCAACAGGCAAAACAAGAACATAAATTTTGCCCCCCCCC